ATTTTAGTGTGGTTTATGTATACTATCAAATAAAGAATATGTAACACTTTACATATTTAAAAATGATTTGTCAGGTCAGACGCTTTTAAAAGTCACTGTGACAAGATTTAGTAGCATATTTAATAATACCTTTGAATTCTATTGTCTAAGTCAGACTAAGTTACATTTCAGGATTGTTGGGCAACTGTTCAAAACCACAGAGAAACTGAACAACTACTGTATGTGTGTGATTGGTAATGGTGCTTTTGCCGATTACCAATCCTTATTAGAAGGATTAAAGTAAAGGAGATATACCATCAGCATAGATTGATAAATTGTGCCATCATAAGACTTAAGATAATTAAAAACCAAAGGAAAAATAAAAAAGAAAAACATTCAAAACTACAGAAAAGAATGCGTCATGACTTTCCCGACAACCCAACAGTTATCCTAATATCCTACCACAATATCCTTGGAAAAAACAAAACCAAAACAGGTGATCCAAAACTACATCGTGACTTAAGAAAAAATGTGTCATGACTTTCCCGACAACCCAACAGTTATCCTAATATCCTACCACAATATCCTTGGAAAAAACAAAACCAAAACAGGTGATCCACCTCTTATAGATGAGACGGAGAAGCATGTGTTCACTAGTATATACTTATTTTTTTTTTAAAGAGAGATTTTTGCTATAGGGTGCCTGTACTCACCAGAAAGACAGAGAGACAGAGAGACAGCAATCCCCCCCCCCCCCCCTCCCAGGGAATAGCCACGCTGCAATCCCGTATCTTTCATTCTCCTCTCAGGATCTTGGGCATGCACACACATGTGCCTGGCATGAGTTTTAAGCTCCTGGGTCCAGGACTTGAATTTGTAGTTGTGGGAGTCCAGTGATGTAACCATTATGCCACCTGATGGTCCCTATATACTTTTCTTTAAAAATTTGCTTTAAATTTGCTAGAGGGCATGTGTGTGTCTGAGCTGCCTGATCTGGGACTCGAACCTCAGTTGCTCATCTGAGGGGTTCTGCACCTTAACCACCAACCACCTGCTGGCCCTGGCATAAACGTTTTTACTAGTGGGGCAGAGAGAACTGACAGGAGGATTAGTAGTTAGTCTCCAAATCCAAACAGGAAATCTCAGTGCACATATTCACATGTAGTCAGGAGGCCTGAACACAGACGATGGGGAGACTTTCTGGGACTTACTGTCCTACTTAGGCACGATAGACTCTTGTTCTGAGCTTAAGCAAAAGATAAGGGAGTCTGCTCTTACATAAACAATTTTTTTAAGTGGGAGAAAAGAGGGTTAAAATCTTCTTGGCCCATTACCAAATTCTAGTCCTAATGAGAGAGAAAATTTGCCTATAGAATTGTCTTTCCAGTATTAGTTTGTGACATCTGCCAAAAATCTATGGTAAAACCAGTTATTCCACTTCTTTTTGTCCCATTCTCTCAGGAAAGGGTGGATAATATATAACAGAGTTTTGCTTTAAGGGGAATTGCTCCTACATTTGCTCACAAAACTAGCCACGTAGCATGTGCTAGAACACAGCAAGTATACAAACTAGCTAACCTCACAAGGCTTCTGGAAAGATGAATTTCTGGCCAAACTGCCCATGGCAAGAGTCTGAGCTCTGCCTTCTTCTTGCCTGACTTGGCTCCTGGACTTAGGAGACCATAGTGGCCTTCACTCTTAGTGTCATTAAGAGGGACCTTGAAGATCACTTAGTTCCACTTTCTCATTGTGTGGATATGGAAGCAGAGACCCACAGAGCATGAAAAAACTTGCCAACATTACAGGGCACATTAACAGAAGTACTGAGGTTAGAACACAGATCTTCCTGATTCTAATTCTAGTACGAGGCTGGGTGGACAAGGTGTGGATTTCAGAGACAAGAACTACAGGTAGGGGCTCAGCTGGTCCCAAGGACTGGCCTAGAGACAGACCTAAGACTCCCCCATAAACAAAAGCAGAAAGGCAACAAGGGAAGCTCCAGAAGGGTAGGAAGTTAGGGAGTGACTCTAACAATCCCCCCCCCCAGATACGGGGAACACAATGTCACAGAAGCCAATGGACACTTCTGGGCATGTATCCAAAAGAATCAGAACAGATATTTGTACCCATGTTCAGAGGAGCACTATTCACAATAGCCGAAGGGTAGAAGCAACCCATGTGTCCAATGATGGATGAATAGATGAAAAAAATGTAGCATAAACATACAATGGAATACTATCTGGCTGTAAAAAGGAAAGAGATTCTGACGCATGCTACAACATGGATGAGCTTTGAGGAGACAACATGCCGAGAGCAATAAGCCAGTCACAAAAGACAAACACTATATGCCTTTACTTATGAAATATACGAATCAAATTCATAGGGACAAAACAGAATGGCAGTTGCCAAGAGTTGGGGGAGACAGGCCATGGAGAGTTATCATTTAACAGTTACTGAAAAACGTTCTGAATGGATGGCGGTGATGGTTACCCTACTATGTGAACGTGCTTGATGACATGAAACCATTAACATTAGCTCGTCAGAAAAGTCATGACATTCCTATGTTTTTCTATGCAAAAATGCATTGTGACTTTTCCAACAACTCAATAAACTTAAAAATGGTTGAAATGGGGACCAGCGGTTGGTGTAATGGCTATGTTGTTGGACTCCCATGTAGTTGACCACAGTTTGAGTCCCAGACCCGGTGGCTTAAACTCATGCTGGGGGTGTGTGCAGATGTGCCCAAGATCCAGAGAGGAGAATGGAGGAGAAGGGATTGTGGCATGGCCATCCCGGCTGCGGGATGATTTCTTACTTTCTGTCTCTCTGTCTCTCTGGTGAGTGCATGTAGCAAAAACCTCTCAAAAAAAAAAAAAAAAGAATGATGACTTTTATATTTTGGATATATTTTTAAAAGACAATGGAGCCTGAATTGTCTTTGTAATTTCCCACTGGCCAGTTCTATGGCTGTCGTGTTCTTTATTACTGAAGTCTCAAAATGAAAAGACTATCACTTGCCATAAAATAAAATTCATAAATGACCCTGAAAACAATAGGAAACACTCAAGTTTTTTTCCCTTTCCCATCCCTTAGTCAAAATTAGCTCACAGAACGTCGTGTAAGCTAGGTGCTGTTTGTCTTCCTGGCCTGTGATGGGAGAGGATACTGTCAACACTGACAGAACCACCCTACAGATTGTGCAAGCAGGGAGAGCCCTGGCCTATAGATTCAGAGAAGCTGCTCTCTTTCAACTACCGCCCTCAATGCAGAAGGTTCAAAACCTCCCCTGCGGGAGTGGAGCTCAAGCAGCTGCAGCCTGCCCCTTTCCTCCATGAAGCTCTCTTGGAGTCTACATACCCTTTGCTTCACTGACGTCTGGCAGCATATGCTGATGCCATCATGCTTTTGGGTTTTTAATTGTATTCAGATGTGTCTTAGCTCTCAAGTCTTTTCAATTGGACTACAAGCCTCTGGTGGACAGAGCTGCCCGCATCTCTCGGCCTCCTCCCTCCTGCCAGTCCAGGATAGGACCTGAAGGGCCACCAGCGTTTTCCTCTCTCTTTCCTGTTTCCCGGGTTATCCCTTCTACTTGCATAGTTATAACCAAGTGAGAGCCACCAACTCCTCAAACTCCTTCTTCAGACCCAGACTTCTGCCTGCCTCCTGCCCAGCTCTGGCAGGACATCCTACAAAGTGCCTTGAACTTAGTGTGCTCTAAAATAAAACCCATTATGCTCTTCCTCAAATAGGTTCCTTCCTCTTTAAATTAATGCAATCCCCATTCACCTAATCAAAAATAAGTCATCCTAGACTCTTCTTCCCCCCTCACTTGAATGAGGGGCCTGTCAGCTCTGTTTCTTAAATCTCTCTCACTTGTCCCCGTGCCTGTATTTTGTTGAGTTTTAGGACCTGGACTCTGAATTAATTTTACTTCCTCAGTTGTCTACTCTAATTTATCTCCCCTTCCCCAGCCCCAAGGTGTCCAACAGCAAATACATATGATCTGGTTGAGATGCTCCAGGAATTTCCCATCACCCAAAGATAAAGCCTAAACACTTTGACACAGTATCTAAGACCATTCTTGAACTAGATCTGAGGCCCGTATCACAAAGCCTATGTGTAGACCATTGGCTGCTGCTCTTCTTCATGCGCAGGATCTATGCTTTCACATGTGGTGTAGGTTCTCAGCTGGGGAAGGCTTTACTCTGCAGGAGACAGTTAGCAATGTCTGCAGACATTTTTAGTTGTCACAACTGGGATGTGTCAGGGGCTGTGACTAGCACTTGGTAGAGATGAAAACATCTGACGACATACAAGGCAACCACTCTCCTCTGT